ATTCAGTTCTGTTTTGCTCTTACTCAGAGTGGAATACATTCAGCCGCATATGCATGATCAGTGAATGTTTAATTTATGAACTGAAACTGGTAGACAACACTCTGATCTCCCTCAGAAAGATATGCAACTAATAAACAACTATGTGATTTCCTTCAGAAATTTAATAAATTAATTATGTAAATGGTAGTCAATTTTCTCTAGAAAGTTTAAGACAAGACACTGCAGGACTATGTAATGAAAAGCAGATTACTTTCACTGAGGCTACTTGCGGCAAAGCTTCCCAAAAGCTCATAACGGCTTTTTGAAAGAATTTGGTCTATATTCACGTTACCCATACAGAAAATAAAGAAAAATCCATGCAGCTAAATGGCAGCAAATGGACGTGGGATCAACACTGCCCGAGCCTATTTGCCGGGAGTCTCAGCTAATGTTCGAATCCGCGACGAACTCAACTGTTCATTGGTCTAAGAGCTACTCGATTACAGGCTGATACCTACATGGATGAAATTCTGCATAAAGTTCATTCGTATATGCAATAACATCAGAGGAAAAACAAAGCACCATTACAGACAGCGATTTACGCTAAAAATCAAGAACAAGATTGTTCGGTGCCTTTGGCCAATTTACCACTAGCGGATCTCTTTAGAAAGTCAATGGTCCAGTATGATTTGTGTTTCTTCATTAAAAAAGTTAACTGATTTCTATTGTTTTTCGGTTAACTAATTACGATATAGCAAGTTCGGCAAGAATGTTTGGTCGATCAGCAGCGTTCAGAGGTCTTATCCATTCGGCTATTGATATTTATGAATTCTTGGTAATCAATTAGATATAAGTTACTATGGTTAGTGTTATAGTGACTGAAATATATTATTGACTGTACCTATTATATGCCCAAGTATTAATATATTTAATATTAGTCAATAAAGAAAATTAAGATCGCTGAGTGATCACCACGATATATATTATTTTCAGCCAATGGGTTTGATGGAGTATCGAAATTTATATAACGCAGACATCTGAGATAATTGCAGCATTAATATTTTTAAGAAATTATGTTATACCTGATGTAAAAAGGTGCTGCAGATAAACAGTTTTAAAGAATGGCAAACCAACCTTGAACGAAACAGACCGGATAAAACAAATTAACTAACAGAACAATGAGCCAGACCTTTACAGAACACATTCGAAATTCATCAATTCTTTTCAGCATTTCATATTTGGGATGCCTCACCTTTAAGTACACAATTTAAAAAAAAAATGCAAATATCTGACCTACTCATAAAAATCTCCAACTAGAACTGTACACAAAAACGCCAACTGAAGCGTAAGAAAATAGTCCTGCGGAAAGATACAGTTCTACTGAACCTTCGTATCCCATGGCGCAATTCGCTATTGACAACAGTACGTCAGGCGTTACTTGGATGCCGAATTTATAATCGAATTGGCATTATTTTCTTCCGCGCTTCTTTTGTTAATCTAGTCGCTTATTTATTGGGCAGTGGGTTATTTTATGGGGCCAAACCCACTGCATTAAATATCTGAGGCAATCGTAGGCTGAAATTCCATTTTATTTTTTGATCTACCTTAAACGGAGTGATTTGACCTACATTTAGGGATAGGAGGAAGGTAGGAGAAATTCTTTGGCTGTGAGTGCTTTATGTAGTTTGTAAGAAGAGTGGGACGATTATGTCTGTCCCCCTTTTTTGCCCCAAACCATGAAACCAGGTAACAGTTGCGTCAGCAAGTGATAAAAAAGTTGTGAAAAGGCGAAGAACCTGGGGATCTTTTCCCCTAGCGGCGAAAAAAAAGAAAGTAGATCGTGGAAAATTTTGAGATATATATTTTTTGCTGTTCTTTTTTAATCATTTATTTTTTAACTTTGACCTAGAGGCAAGCAAGCCTGGAATTTATTAAAAACTTTTTTTTTCATATTACAAAGTCTTGGGAAATCTGAGTGTACAGGTTGGATTTTTAAAGATTTTCTCCATGGAATCATATCCCAAAATCTAAAAGAATTTTTATCGTGTTTTTAATTACAAAAAGCAATTTGTAACTGAGAGACCTTTTTTCTACAAAAATTTTTCGAATATGTTACAGCAAGTGGGAAATGAGGATGCTAATTTAAATTTTCGAATTAGTTAACTTATGTAATTGATGTTGGTTTTGCTAGTGAGAAAAATCTCTGCATTTTCAGGCAGCCTCAGACAGATTCCTCGTCTTCAATGAGTCAAAAAAGTTATCTACATCTACATCACATTGTTGGGAATAGTACATCATTTAAGCAAATGAAAAGAAAAGTTAAAAAAAAAAAAAAAAAAAACATTACTGTAGCTTTTCCTTAAAGCCAGATACACAGAAAAATTAAAAATAACTTTTTGGGAGAAACAAAATTGGAATTCACATCATAAACTAAAATAAATAAATTTAAATGACTATTAGAGGGTTCAAGGAAATCTAATTCATCAACAGAGGGTTTTTGGTTAATTTTAGAGGAGGTCGAAGAATTGTTAAGGGACCTAGCATTGATATATTTATTAATTTCTCTTTCTGTGACATAAAATTCATGTCAAAAAATTAAATGTTTTTTTTAATTTGGCATGTTATAAAAGATTTAAATTCACCTGTATCAAAATCTAAACCAGAATCTTTAAGAGCTGACGAACGAATTTTTTTTAATGTGAGTGAAAGTAAATTTATAAGGTCCGCATCTGCCAATTGCAATATAGAAAGAAAAGAAATCCAAAGAGGCTACAGAGCGATATTATGTAGTGATGCACTACCCTGAAAGTGAGCATTAAAATCTTTAATATTAAATACTAATATCTTTAATATCAATATCTTGGCATTAATATCTTTTTGAATATTAACGATTTTTCGATTCTGAAAAGTTAATATGTTAAGGAAATGGTGTAGATATGAACATCTTAAACTTGGCTTCTCATAGAATATCGTATTTTATATCCCCAGAAGTTCTTACATAATTTATAACATCTTAATCAGTAAAATGTGTTTATTTGTTGTTATTTTATTTTTATTAATTTATATATTTTTATTCCTTCCTTAATCTATAGTCATAAAAATTTTTCAAACACAGAATATTCACCACTTGCATACCCAGTTAGATAATGAAATATCCTTTCTATTCATTCTCTTTTTTAAAAGAGAATTTCTTAATGCCACCTGTAAGCTGTAAAAGAAACTTTTAAGGCAAACGATCGCAGCAATTTAGGGTTCAGTGATCTCTCAACGAAGACTTGTTTCTACTCGCGCCCACAACAAGGCAGCTTCTGTTTTCGAACTGGGTCGTGCACATAACATTTTTTTTTTTCTTTAAACTTCACAAAAAAATTGATCTTTTCCATTCGAAACGTGGGGTGGAACCAAGTTTGAAGAAGTTTAGAGGTTTTTCTACTTCTGAAACCGGATGTTTACTAGCTCGACGATGACGCATGAAAATGTAGAAATTAACTTTTTCTTTACAGGAATAAAATCCACTCCCTTTTTTTTTTTTTTTTTTTGTATTTAAGGCCTAACCTTTTTATTTATTAGATGAGACGATTAAAATTAAAGCAAACTACTCCTTAATTAATTATTAATTAAATTAGCCCGTTTTAAAAAGCGAAATTTAACCATTCATAGGAGAACATAAGTATGCCTCAGATGAGAAAACAATAACGATCTGATTTTCCAAAATGCCAACAAAGTTCTTTAATCTCTTCGTAGAACTAATTATAGTTAAACAAAATAATGTTTTAACTGAATAAGTTTTATATTCAAATATAAAATAACAATTATGTTGCATTTTATTAAACTTACGACAAAAGTTTTATTTGATTATCTAATTTGCAATTTGTAACATCTACAAACAATCGCTAACTATTTCAATTTATAACATCTATATCTCTGTCAATCCTGAAATCTTAAAAAGCGGGATGTTTTCGTGCTGAGCAGCGATATCACTTCAAATGAACTCCAAACTGACTTTTAATTAAATTCACTCTAATGCTTTGTTCAGGTTACTGAACTACATGCAATACAATTCTGATGTAAAATACGTTAACATTTAATAAGATATAATAAATTTGAAGTTCTTTGGCCAATTTTATTTTATTTTTCTTACAATTTTATACTGAGAAAATCACGAATAGCGAAATTTCATTTATCAAAATAAGTTTAAATATGATGAAAATAAAATTAATAAATAATGCATATAGTATTTGTGTGGATAAATTTAGTAATGTACAATATATTGGAGTAAAATAAAATTAAGTATATAATAACTGATTAAACATTGCTTGAATCTTTATACAAAAGCCTATACATGTCTACAGTAGATTAAGACAACTCAATCCAATGAAATTTTATACGAAAAAATTAATAAGATCAATAAAAATGTAATAAAAATATGCCAGATGAAATAAAATTTAATAAGACAAATTGCTTTTAAAATCACTTGGGGAATGCAATCTGCCTAATTTAAGTTTCATTCATTTAATAAATTTTATTTACGGCTGGGATCTATTTTAAGTACAAGAACCGGGATACTTGGTGATTTACCGGAAAACCGGGAGATATGATGAATCACCACAAATCTCCCGGTAAAACCAAGAGAGTTAGCAGTTATGCTATATGATCAGTAAGTAATTAATATGAATAAGTAAAATCCATGATTATATTCCTTTGTTAAGAAAACTAATCCTTTTATTTTGTTCTCTGTTTTTGTTCCTAAACTTCCTGTTGAACAACTTAAATTAAATAATCTTTGATAAAGTCAATCCATCGCTTATTTACACTTTCCCGAAGCAACAAGAAAATTTCCTGCAGTCTACTCAGCTTTAAAATGAATCTATTTGGATATATGGTCAGCAATATTCTTTAAGATTTCGGATCTGTCATTAAACTTATTCCCAACCAGTTATTAGATGGTTCCCTCAAAACAAATTCATAAATTCTGTAAAAGTACATAAAAAGTCACTGAAATTTTAAAAATATTAACTTACCAGAAGAAATTCCAAGAATACCACAAGCAACATGAATATCTTTCGCTGCTTGCTCCACTGCCAAATTCCTCAATTGCTCCATCTTTTCATTGGACAATCCTTCTTCCTCTTCCCTCTTAATGTTTACGTTAGGCCCCATGGCGCCCATGCGCAACCCTGGACACTGGTAATCCCCTTCTTCCACTTCTTGTTTGACCTGGACGTATGGTGGAGGTCCCACATAACCTTTTCCTGGAGGACTGTCATACAGTGTTGGGCTTTCGGCTGCCGTGGGCCCTCCCGAAGAAGGTGACGGGATATTAACATGGACAGAACTGTGGAAGCCTGCCATTTTTGAAGTATTCTCTATGGAAGAAGGTGTAGTACTATTGTATCCACTTCTCAGAAGTGTAGTGTTATCGCACAGCCAGCTCTCAAAGTCAGCCATGCACCAAGTTTCAAGGGATAACGGGCTTCCCGGGTTTGGTACTAACTGGGGCCTCTGAAAAATAGAAAGATACTATTAATGTTTTTCAACTTAACATCTTCATAAATAAAGTTAAGTATAGTATCATGCTTCTATGTTAAAGCGGCCATCGCGCTTATTCTCTATAACTGGAAACCTTAACCGCCCAATTTATAGGGTGATGACGCCGAAGACTCGTTCTGTGGCCGATTTAACAAGAAGTACCTACATTTTAATGCTTTGATACAGTCAAACCAAAAAATAGAGCCTACTTAATGCAAGAAAAAACCAGAAGAAGAGTCTTTTCAAAACAAAATATGGCTGTAATTTATCACTCTAATGCTCTAATTCCAATTACCAACCGATTCTAATTCCAATTACCAACCTCATTCGTCAATGATAACGATTTTGATTATTAAGAATAAAAATAGTGGAACAGCAAGCGATAATTTTCAAAATACAAAAGTCGACCACTTCGAAAATGATTTTAGTTGTCTGTTTGTCAGAAGAAACAAGGCAGGAATAGATAAATAACGGCTACCCCTTAGCGGCATCTTACTTTGTGATGACAAAATTTGCAGACAAAAAAGACAGAATCCTGGTTCTGCAATTTGATCAAACGCATTATGTACAGTAGTTTAAAAAATATATTTAAGTGCCAATTTAAAAAATAGCGTATGCTAACTACCATTTAACATTTATTATTTGCCGACGCAAAGAATATTATCTTCTTTAAATATAGTATGGGGGGGGGATTCACATTATTATGCCACAGAAGGACAACGAAAAGGAAATCCATGATCTGCATCGCTCTATCAAAAATCCTACCTGAATTTTCTGCATCGCTCTATCAAAAATCCTATCTGAATTTTAAGATAAAATGTATGTACTTATTTTTGGATTTTTTACCACTGCATAATCTCTCTGCTGCACATAAAACTTTAATTAACTCGAGTTCTTATTTGTTCTTATGCAGGATTCAATCCTTTTCCACCGCAAGTATACCTTTCTACAGTAGAGTTCTTCAAATAACTCAAAAAAATTTAAGTGTAGACTCAAAAGTTTATAATGCACAACCTTAAAAGCCCAATATTTAGCAATAAAAATATATCTAGAAATAACTATTTTAATGCAGGAATTCTTTTGCATTTTGCTTCATGTAATGCTAAGAATCTAACATTAATTATACTAAAAAGAAGTCCATAATGCACAACCTTAAAAGCCCAATATTTAGCAATAAAAATATATCTAGAAATAACTATTTTAATGCAGGAATTCTTTTGCATTTTGCTTCATGTAATGCTAAGAATCTAACATTAATTATACTAAAAAGAAGTCCATGTAAAATGTGATTCGATGCAATTAACAAATTGTTTTGATTTTGTACCCATTTATTACTCTTCAAAATAAGCGCAACAGCTCCGAAAACATTCAAATTTCACAGACCAATTCTATTGCAATAGATCTTGATTGTGCAATGTAGATGCACCTGTTGAAGGGCCCCATTCTGGTTATGCGAGGCCTATACAGCAACCTTTAATTTTCCATAATTGGGCACACACATACACAGTTAGAAAAACTTTCATCCATCTTCCAGCAGCAACCCAACCATGCAGGATATCTTGAAAAAAACCTCTTCAGAGCAACTAATTTTTCCCTTCACCATCCATAATAAAGTAGCCCTGCAAAACCTTGACCTCTTTGACCTTGAGCTGGGCAGAGCTTTGCCCGGGCTCTTCTTCCAACAAGCTGGCCCAGTAAGCTAAAACCGGCCCCGCCATAACACCCTGGAAATTACGCCCGAGGTGCTCAAATAAATGCCAACTTTTTGAACAGGTATTTTTTTTTTCCTTACCTCAACAAAAAATAAACATAAAACTTGTTTGGGCTGGCCTTGGAAACTGCTCACAGAGAACTGTTCTCTGGCTTGTCTTATCAAAGGAGGGGAAACAACATATTTAAACTCAGAAGACAATGCGAATCGAGCTTTTGATTTCGTTCGTGATACGGCCTTCCCTAAGTTCATCTGGGATACAGAAGCTGCAAGTGTTTTAAAGAAGTCTGTTGCAAAGTTTGCTCTCTCACGGTTAAAAATGCATATCCAACCAGTATGTTCCAAATGATCCCGAATAAATTTTGATCTTGACTAAAATTCAGAAATGCCAGTTATCAGCAAATTCTTTCCTCTGCAACCTTATCTGAGATATTTTGCAGCTGGTTATTTTTTGAAGATTTTTGACGATAAGGACTCATACATTTGTTCAAAAGAAACTTCAAAAATAATTATTGTAATCAAACACCTTGCCTCTAACAAAATTAAGCGTTTTTCAAATGCCTTGAAGAAAATTTTGATGCACAGACGATGCTAAAAAGGCGAGACACTTCCCACAGTTGACTGTTTTTATCTGATAACGCAAGCACAATTCGTGCAACAGTTATCTTACCTTTCTAATTCCATAAAAAATATTTTCAAGGAAATGAAATCCAAAACGCAGCAGCACAAAAAACTACTTTTTAATATTAATATAAAATATCGCGTGACCTATTTATCTTTTCACATAACACTGAGCTACGCTTTTCATGATGACGCATAAACCAGTATGTGTTTCTCATGATAATGCGCCCTCTGGTTAAATAATGATACCCTTTGTAAAGTGGTTCACATGAAAAATACGTCTCACTGCCATCAGTTCTGCATTATCTTTTGTTCTGTATGTGCATTTTAACCTTGTAACTTGATCTTAGTTTTTGTCTTTTTTTAAAAGGGCTCAGTGCTCTATTAAATAGGAGACTTTAAACTAAAAAAATGTATAACGTAAAAAAAAAAAAAAAAAAAAAAAAAAAAATTGTATTCGGAATATAAAATATGCACTAGTTGCATTCATCATTTATTATCCTATGCAACATGTTAAAGAAATATCGATTCGTTTTAAAGAATTGGATTATAAAATATATATTTTTGCTGTAAATTATATCCAGTAGACATATTAATAGATAAAATAAAAGTAAGAATTATTAAGAACATACATTGCTTTCAAATCATTTAATTCTTCAAATAATTTGCAAAATAATCAACACCTCTCAGAAATGACAAAACATCTAAGTGGGAAAAAATTAACTATTTTACACCGCATGAAATGGCAACACCTATCAGAAAGAGAAATATGTGAGGCCGTGTGACTAATTAATGCCTTATAGCGTAACGCAATGTAATCTGACACGAAATATTGAAAACGTAAGCTAATCTAATCAAAATATCGTGCTTATTTTAGACTGACATTTTTAATTAGCTTATCATTTTCTATGATAGAATTGCAACAGGTATATGCAAATAACTGCATGGTAATTGTAATGTTTCGGTTTAACTGAAAAAGTCGTTGTTACAGAATTCATATATTTTCTACATTTTATTTTATTCTGAGAAGAAAATATTACGAAATATGCAGGCTCATATCTTTTCAAGAATAAGCATAATTCTATTTCTCATACTGCTTTAAGATATCTTTTGAATCATGCAACATTCAGCATTTTTGTACAAACTGTAGTTTCTTGCAATATTAATTAGGATTTGTATTTTAAATTGGCATTTTAAAAAGAACTTTTATAAAGATGTACTGTAGACTCAGAACAGCACACAATGCGCATTGTATCATAAGACAATTCACCTACGATTTCACCAGTTCACCTAAGACAAATCACCAATTTTCATTTGCTGAGATCATTTTATTTTATTTTAAAAATTAAATACCATTATACGCATCTATCACAATATTTACATCTTAAGTGAAACAAATTTGAATTAAGAAGCATAACTTCCCGACTAAATTAGAATTTAACGTCTTAGCATTTAAAGACAAACATTCTAAAATATTTTAATTTACCTTACTTCTTAACAATTATTTATCTGAAAGGTTTGCTAAAGTAACGCCACAAATTAAAAACAATGAATATAAATTTCTAATAGATACATAAAACACTGATACGGCTTGATGAAATAATCTCGATATATTGTTCCTGAGCTTGTACTAACAGATTCCTAATTCCTCAACGATTTGCTTGACTATTTGAAAAGGCAACAGCGACAATCTTAATAGATTGTCGAACAATATTGCAGGAAAAACCATAACCACTCTTAAAAGAATACCCTGGCTTATTAAGATTTTTTTTTTAAAATTTAATGTTGAAACAATTTTTCGCATATATCTTTGTTCTTAGAATTTTACTGTTTGCATAACAGGATAGCACGGGAAAAAAATCATTTAAATGAAGTTTATATAAAATCTTTAATGACATTCCTGTTTTGGGCAATTTAAAAAATTTCTCGAATTTTTTCGACCATTTGATGTAACAGAACTGTTGTAAGTAAAACAATGACTACTGTTCAAAAATGGTTTTTCAAATGAATAATTGGACTCGCGTAATTGAGACTAAAAAAAATTTAAATAATAAGTTTCATAAATAAAGTTTTTTAAAAAAATCATCAAATAATAAATACTAAACTTGAACTAAAAGGAGAAAAATAGTTTATCATACAGTTTTATGGAAAAAATAGATTAAAAAATTATAAATTCATCTATAATATTATACCACGAATAATAAAAGAATGGTCGTCTAAATAACGAAATCAAATAATCGAATTGCATTGTCAAAATTAGAAGGTATTTTCTTTATAAGTTTATTAAGAGAGACCTACGCTTTTGATATTCGCCATATAAAATTGTAGATGAATTTTGTAAAGGTAATTCTTTAATCTACTTTTCCTACGCAACTATATAATAAGTTATTTATCTCCTTTTAGTTTATTAATTATGTTATGAGTTAGAGATGTTATGAGTTAAGACTTACAGCTTATTTTATAAATCCCCCTATCTCTCTTCTTTCTTTTCATTTGGATGGATGTGGGGTAAGATGGGAATGAGAAACATTTCAATGTCTTAAATAAAGAGCATGATTTCCAGTTCTGCTTTGCTGGGAAGCCCTAATCTCGTTCAAACCCGCGAGCAAATCAATTTCCCAGCACCTTCAGGGTCACCTTTTGATTAGCCAATAATATGTAATTTCAATATCAGGAAACGCAGGTAAATGCTGACTCAACTTCGACCCAAATCTGGGTTCATGCCAATCCAATGAACAATTATAAAGACTGTTCAGTTAAACTGGAAAGCTACGTAATATTTTAATAGAAACAATGTAAAGTTTATGCAGTTATGACTAATCTTCAAAATAATGGATTACAGAAACTATTATATTTTCATTTAATTAAAAGAAACCACAAATCCATACTTTTTTTGTTTTATTGATTAATCTTAAAATACATATTTCGTAACAAAGGTTATTGAACATGTATGACTTCCTTGACAGAAATGCCGAATTTTTCAGATTTTGACATTCATGCACATGTTTGGAAAATTGCCGTCTAATTATTTAAGTTATAACTTACATATCTTTTTAAATACAAACATTTACATTATTATATAATTATTGTAAAAATTATATGTAAACAAATATTTATATATAATTACAACACATTCGCCATAACTAAGCAAAAAATAATAACGATTTACTTAATTAAAACTTTCAGTAACATTTCAAGAAACAAATATCGAAAGAAAAGTAAATTCCGGAAAATATTTTTTTCTAACTCACCTACAAAGCTTCTGATATAAATTCCAATGATAATAAGGGTAACGTATCTTAATTTGAAAAACCTCAGTCGAATAGACAGAGTAAATCTCACATATCTGATGCTAGGTTTCATGGTTTGCAATGCAGGTTTAAATAAAACAACGCATTTATTACGCTGTTAATGACCATTTCCATGATTTCTGTCTAGACGCCTGTCTTCTCTGTTTATGACTAATCTGCTATTATTAGAGATTTAAATTCCACGGAAAAAAGACGATATATTGTCAAAGACTGCAAATCGCATTTAGAATGACATCAATGCGTTGATGTGATATTTTACGCAGTATTATGAAACTTTATAACGTATTTCTACTATTACATCAACATTTCATAATATTTCTTGCAATAAAATTATAGCTTGCTCAAATTATTTATTTATTTATTGCCTGGATTCGTAGCTCTTCAAATCTTCCCCCTCCAACCGATCAGTTTGAGATAATTGACATCAGGCTGCTGATACTAGCAGAAATGCCAAAGGTTATTATTTACATTTAAAGAAGATGCGATATTTTCTTTTTATCTACAAAAACAACGTTGCTTATTATGCTTGTTTTCTTTCACATTATCGTATTATGAAGGCATTTTAAAGAATTAATTTTAACACGAATTAAGGCTTAGATTAGGTTAAGTTAATGTAAAAGCATTTACGTAGCCTTATCTTCGAACTTTCCACCTCACGTTACGTGAGGATACCATATCGTCCGTTCATTTGAATCATACACGTGGCCTGGCATATGGCCAATTCTCCTCATACACGAGAATTGAAAATCGTCAACTCTAAGAGCTGCTGCCAATTCACACCACATCAGATAACTAATTTATTTTTTAGAATTCATTAACACAACAAGGCGTAATTTAAAAACAATATACGTAATTAATAATAATAATATTAACATTTAAAATATTGTATAACTCGTTATGTTTGTTTAGTTTATTCCGTCATTTTAAAACATTACTTTTGTCTCAAGGGCACTCAATTTATTTTAACTGATTCTCGTAAACTCCACTGGATCTAAGCATACATTCAGAGCTGGCTTACACAATAAACAAAAATACACACGTGTTTAGGACATCGTTAAAGAAGGTTGAAAATTTTAAGCTTATTATTGGTTATTATTTTAGTTAGTTTACTGGTTATGATTTTATACAGAAAAATCTTTCTAAAGCTTCTTAAAGCTCTCAATCCGGCCTTGCACACATTCTTCGACCTGATACATCAAAGAATTGATACAGTGACGCGCATCAATGAATTTCTAGCTCTTCTGCACACGTCATAATTATGTACTTCAAGTCTCCCAAAGTGAATTCTAACAAATATGTAACAATTAAATGAATAAAATGATTATAATTTAAAACGCGTATTCTTAATTTCTTAATTTTTTAATAACAAAATTAAGATCATAACTCGATTAGAATGAAAAAAATGGAAAATTTAAATTGAATTTCGCTAAACGCTAAATGTAGTTTAAAAAGTTAACAATTAAAGCTTGGCCTTTAGTTTTTTAAAATAGGACGAGAAATTAAATCGAAAATAAAAGATTAGTAAACTGCATGCTTAGGATATGCAGATTCAACAAATGGACTAAATTATCCAAAATTTAGCCCCCCCCTTTTTTTTTCTCTTTGGAGAGGCGGGGTATTGACTTAAAGAAACAAATATTTCATACCCTGTGATATAATCTCTGATATAATATTTTATACCCTGGATAAGAAAAAATCGTATTTCTTTTACATACAGCTTATTATTTACCAGTGGCAAAACACAATACTCCATATATCAACTGTTGCCATTACACGTAATATTTTTTTGTATTATACTTCAATAACTATTACATGATTACATGATGGGCGAGTTTAAAATTATGGTATGTAAAATAATTAATAAAACACAAACGCTAAAGATATACATAGTTTCTTTCATTTAAGAGCAAAATTTATATATGTGTGTACAGGGAATTTTTAAGGAAATTTTAACAGAACTTACGCAGGGTGCGATGAATTACATTATACAATTAAGAAATAAAAAATTTGGTTTCAGAGGCCTATTTAAAATGGAGAGAGCATAAAAACGCGAAATATAATTAATAACTCTAAAGCTTACATGCCAATTAAAATTTCTGAAACTTCTGTAGTTAACAAAATGCTAAGAATACAAGAAGCACAACGAATTCATTTGCACAGCAAAGAAAATAATGCATTTCATGCAGGCATGAAATTTCAATAAAACGTATCCAAATGAGCAACATGCATGAAAAAAATTATAAAATGGTAGTCTAGTTAATATGGAATTGTAACCTATCAGAAGAATATATATATAAAAAAATAATAATTAAAAAAAAAATATTTCACAAGACAGTAAAGTGCGATTTTCTTACTCATAAGTTTTTCCATAATTAAAAAGTAGAGCCGTTTAAAAATTAAATCCCAATATTAAATTATCAGATTTTTATATACATATATATATATATAAAGGTGTCCATTTTTATCAAATTATTCGTCCCAAAGAACTAACTTCTTCACTTGAACGCCAAGAAACCAAACTGGTAAGACGACATTCTCTTTTACGGCGTCGCCATAATTATTCCGTCAAGTGTTTTAATAGTCATAGACAATCGAAAAGATTTTCTATAAAATTATGCAAAATAAGACAGCTCCTCAGTTTTTACAACAACCATAAAATTTTAACAAGTTATTAATTAAATTTTCCATATTTTTAACAACAAAAAAGTAATTTTCTCTCACCGTTTCAACTTGTAGCGGAGCGCACCTCTGCATGTTCTTCTCTAGCAGGTAGTGGAGGCAACTGAAGTCTACTCCGATAAGTGGCAATACAACTTAACTCAACTTGTATGACGTCTGGCGTGACGTCAACGAGTCCCAAATGGGAATATTTTTTTTCTGCTTCTGTTGGAACCATTGCCAACAGTGAGAGTTGTAAAGAACTTTGAGAAGTTTTAGGACGTGCTTAGGTTGAGGCACTTGGAAAGATGGTAACTTGCTCGTGTATTGTGGATTGCAACAATAGGCAAGTTGTCGGTAAAAAAAGGGGGGCGTGTTGTCTAACGTTTTTTTAAGGGTGAAACCGAAAGGAACTTCTCGCTGCAGACTACAGTTCTCCAAGAAGTTTAAGAGTCACGGTTAAAACATTACACTGCAGTTTGCATGACAATGTTTTTCTGCAACACCGCCTATTTTTTAATTGCTTTGTTCAATTTACAGAACTACGAGTACTTTTTTTTTCCCTTTAAATAAAGAATTCCTAATCATAATCTTAGTTTAACTAGAAAAAACGAGCTTTTAAGCATGATAATATGCGTATCTCAGAGCATATTGATAATTTTTCAAAAGTTCTCAATTACATAGAAATGCATGATTATTATTTAGTCACGACATCATGAAATAAGAATTAATGAAGATATATCAACGATGTATTGCCATAATACTTAATCAATTATTCATTTAGTAGTACATTTTATTTTCATAAAGCAGGATTTAATAAATACGAAAATAATTGTTGAAATTTTAAAAACCTGTGATAATATATTTAACTTTTTAATTTAACACTTTTTTTAAGGATTAATGGTATTTATTAATAAAGTGTTGCTTACAAAAAGTTCTTCAGAAAAATTTATAACTCAATTCTTAAACACATATGTGTTTAAGAATTGAACATGAAAGCCAGAATTTAACATTATTTTCGAGCAGTCAACAGCACGGGAAAATTAATTATTTTATGCGCAAAGATTTTGTTTGAAAAAACAGGAATTCATTTTTGTCGTTGAAAAAAGTATTTTTTAAATAATTTTTAATAAATTCATATTACCAAAGTATTTTTTATCATCAAATTACGTTAATCAGATTAATTCAAAATAGTTTAATCGTCAAATTCTATTCACTATTTAAAATAATTCTTGATAAAAGTGCATTAAAAATATCTCAGATTTTATCGTAAGTTATAAAAAATTGGAGCACTCTATGTGAACTTGCAAACCGTTCCCCTTCGGGGGAAAAAAAAAAATCGAAATTTATTTCAAATAAAAATTATTTACTTCTATATATGTATGATAAAATTAGCAAAGATTCCCCATTCTTCAAATCGAATTTCTTTAAAAAATAAAATTTTGATTTTCTTTGATAAGCTCTTATCAAAGAATAGTTTTTTAAATTTGAATAAAATTAGAATAATTTGATGGGTAAAAATACTTGTATAAGGTTACAAGAATTGAGCATTTTTTTTTCTAATTTTGATGAAAAGAACAAAAATGAATTTATATATTTAAAATAAATGCTTATTTTTATGTACGTACGAGTGGGCCCATGCTAATAATTCGAACAAAATTGTTTTACTATTCACCATGTTTAATCCGCCCAGTCAGAACCGGGTTATGACTTTTAGAACACCTAAGCACTTATAAGATTTTGGTGCCCTCACATACATTTTCACTAATTTTTTCTTCTTTCTTTTTTCTCTGAGTCTTGATTTAGCAGCAGGTAGAAGTGGCAATGGGAAATTGTTGTGCCCCTTTCCCTGATGCCCTAAGCATGTGCTTATTTTGTTTAATGGTTAATTCGGCTATGAGTCGAGTCTATCCTATGCCCTATGACATTAATATTAAGCTCCTTTCTTGATCTTTTTCGATGTTTTTTTGAGAAAAATTCTCTAGGTTTCGTTGCATTAATTAAAGAAAAAATAAATAAATAAAATGAAAATCTGAAAGTTTCAGATTTTATATTTGGCCCAAAGGAGCTCTTTTATTTATTTATTTTTTCATTTACGCATACACGGTTTTGAGAGCATTTGGGCTAACGCTCCTTTCGGCTAAAAATATTTAAAAAACAGCGTATCTTTAGAATTTCCGATAGAGAATCAATCTCGCTAGCTGGAGTTAAAAATATTTTATTCCGTACAATCTGTTGCCACTGCTCGCTTTGAAATCTTTTGAATTTATAAATCGAAATTCATTAAAGGTTAAGAAATATAAAATAGATAATAAAACAAATTCGAAATTCAAGATTCGGATTTCCAAGTGCCCATATTCTGGTGGAGGATTATGTTATTCAAAATCTGGCGGCTCTAAGTATCGATGTTTTTTCATAATGCGAGAAAGATACAAACATGCATGCAGGTTCTGCATTATTCAGCTTATTTAAATATAATACAAGGCGATTGGCGGCAACAAGTTGAAAAGTTATACAGCCATTTATAGTGATTCGATGCAAAATGCTGTTGCGAGGCTAATAAATAGCTCTTTTGGTCTAACGCACTATTGGGCTTGAGATAAGAACGTTTTTTATTTATTTTTTATTTATTTATTTATTTTTTTTCCGTACAGTGTTGCCATTGCTCGCTTAGAAATCGTTTAGTTTTTTTAATAAAAAATTCGTTGAAGTGTTACAAAATCTGAAATCGATAATAAAACAAATTTCAAAAATTTCAAATTCCAATTAGGGCTTCCACATACCTATATTCCATGGAAGATTACATTATTCAAATTTTGATGGCTCAAGGTACCGTTGTTTTATCACAATGCGAGAAACATTTATACAGATTCTTCATTACTTAATTTCTTTAAATATAAGACAGGGTGATCATATATGGTGGCAACGAATTGAAAAATGATACAGCCTTTTAAAGTTTTCGACGCAAAATGGCGAAACGAAATTAATAGCCCTTCTGGGTAAATTTCCCTTTTGGGCTAAAAGCGCTAACTTCATGAATATTTTTAAATATAAAATCCTCTCAAAATATAAGATACATAAAAAAGATTCTAAATTAAATATTCTGGCTTCGGTGTTCATATGCTTGAATGTAAGAGTACATATGTTTAAAATCTGGTGTTTCAGGTGCTACCTCTTTCCACAGTACTACAAAATCACACATAGATTTTTAAATTTTTATCTTTTAATAAAAGATAAAAACAGTAACCACTGAGGCAGTTGTAAAGAAAATAAGTATTTATCATTTAAATGAAACTAAAAACGGAAAACCACATTGCAGATCTGAAACTAAGAATTTTGCCAATTAACTATAGGTAAGTTTTACAGTTAAGACAAATTTTGCCATTTTACTCTCGAAATCTGTTGCATATGCAAATGCTCATCTCGTACCGTGAACAGAGCAGTTAACTATATTGACAAAACATGTCTATATGTTCTGACAAAATTTGAACATTATAGGGTAAGGGGAATTCGAATTCTCGAAATTTCAGAATTTAAAAAAAAAAAAAAAAAAAAAAAATGTGTACACCACATGGCTTCTTTGTACGGAATATTAAGTTATATGTATTTTTTCTTGCATTTTATTTAAAATTATTTCCAATATTTCTCATTCAGTTAATTCAGTTCTCACTTCACGGTAAGGCAAAAATACCCCAAAACTCAAATTAACCATATTAAAAATTGAGAGATATAAAAAAACATAAAGCACAAAATACAGTTAATACAATTATTATTATTATTATTATTATTATTATTATTTTACAATTAAAAGCATAGTTTCTACGAAAAAACAAGCAATGCAATCAGCGTTTCAGAAGGTGGATTTTTCGGCGCACAAAACTGAACGTTTACTTTTGCTCTAACTCGGCAAAAAGAAATTGAATTAAGTATCATTAACAAAGGAAAGGAGATAAAACGCTTTCATTACAAGCAAATTCAACAAATGAAAAAGAAATTTTAAACATATCTAGCAAATATATTATAAGACGGATTTCAACAACAATTGTACATTTATTTAAATTAGTGTTTTGTGGGAACATCTGCAGTTCCGAAATATCAGCATTTAATTATTTTCAGTGACATTTGCACAAAAAAAAAAAAGGAGTGAGTCTTAAAACTGAAAAAATATAGTATAGTGTTAGAAAGGTGAGACTTCTTTTCATTAATACCAATAGTGACATATTAGTAAAATAATTGATCTCTGAAAACATCAACATTCTTTTACAAATTGGAATGAAGACAAAACAAGGGCATCTCAGATATGTGAATAACAAGTGTACCTGGTTATTCAAATATCTGAGACAACAGTTTCACACCGATTTGCTTCGCAAGTCGAAACAACATCATCTCTTTAGTAATAATAATAATAAAAAAATCTGATGTGTACACCACATGACTTCCTTGTATTGGAATATTAAATTATACGTATTTTTTCTTGCATTTAATTTAAACTTATCGGATTGAATTAAATCTACTTCGCCGACAGAGCATAAACCACAATAGAATAAATGCATTCTTTAAAATTCACTCTAGTATTTGTTTACCATAGCGACACTCTGGCGCTAGATTAACTTAACAGTATTAATAATTATATAACAGTTAACTTATATAATAATTATATAACGGAAACTAAGTTAATTGTTATATAATCCAATGATTATATAATAGTTAACTTATATATTTCGTTCATATTATAACTCATAATGCACAAAATTTATATCATTTAAAGAATAGAATTATCTAATCGTTGCCACATGTTCTATTCAAATACTATAATAAAGCTAGAATGATGTATAAAAGAAATTAAGCAAACAAAACAAAAAAGAAACAGTTTTTCACAGACGATTGAGTATTTCTCATTTAATTAATTTTCTCACTTCGCGAGACGGCAAAAATACATAAAAACTCAAAATATCTATATTAAAAATTACGAAGTAAATCTTAAACACTTATTTCCTCGAAAAAATTCCAGAAAGGATTAAGCATGATTTAATTGGCAATAATAAATGAATGCGTTATCTTTGTTGTTGCGAAGCTAAGTTTCTCTAGATTGGCAACGAATCCACTAGTCTGCTGTTTCAAATGTAAACA